TTTTAAACCATGCAGCATTCCCTAGTTCTGTTCACTCAACTGCCTCTTGATCCATGTACATGTTCTGTATGAGCACAATTAATTATTCTGGAATAATCATTCTTACGGTTATCCATAGGTATGATCCACACAGTTGAATGCCTTAGCATACACACAAAGTAAACATCTTTCTGGTATTTTCTGCTCTCAAGATCCATCTGATATCACCAATGATATCCTTTGTTCCATCCTGAATCCATCTTGAACCTCTTAGAGCTTCCTGTGAATGTACTACTGTGACTATTGTTGGATGATCGTTGGCAGAAATTTACTTGCATGTGATATCAGTGATACCACTCTATAGTTTGAACATTCTGTGGGCCACCTTTAGAGTGGTTACATATATGGGTCTTCTCTGATAAAGTAGCTGTCTTCCAAATTTCCTGACATTGATGAGTGAGTACTTTTGGTGCTTCATCAGCAGGTTGAAACATTTCTATTGGTATTCCATCAATTCCTGGACCCTAGTTTTTTTTTGCTAATACATTCAGTGAAGCTTTAACTTCATTCAGCACCATTGGTTCTTGTTCATATGCTATCTCCTGAAATGGTACAATGACCAAGAGTGATATTTGGTTCCGTGATTCTGTATTCTTTCCATGTTCTTTTGATGCTTCCTGCATTATTCAATATTTTGCCCATAGAATCTTTCAGTATTGCAGCTTGAGGTTTGAACTTTTCCTTGAATTCATTGTTTGAGATAATGCTGAATATATGTTCTTCCTTTATGGTTTTCTAACTCTAGATCTTTGTACATTTTGTTATTATATTTAGCTTTGTCTTCTCGAGCTGCCCTTTGAATTTTTATTCAGTCCCTGACCCCATCATTTATTCCATTTGCTTTAGCTACGTAGTCTACAATTGAGAACAAGTTTCAAAGTCTTTTCTGATATCCACTTGGATCTTTTCTTTCTTTCCTTTTTTGTGACCTCTTACTTTGATTGTGCGTGATGTCCTCCCACAGCTCATCAGGTCTCTGTCACTAGTGTTCAATACATCAGAATCTGTTCTTGAGATGTTCTCTAAATTCAGGTGGGATAGTCTCAAGGCTGTATTTTGGTTCTGGTCAACTTTTTTTCGTTTTCTTCAACTTCAACCTGTACTTAATATGAGCAATTGATGGTCTGTTCCATAGTCAGCCCCTGGCCTGGTTTTAACTGCTGCTACTGAATGAGAATTCTCCATGGTCTCTTCCTACAGATGTAGTCAATTTGATTTCTGTTTACCGTATATACTTATGTATAAGCCAAGTTTTCCAGCACATTTTAAAATGCAGTTTTTTGTGGTAAAATTAGGTGCCTTGGCTGATATTTGGGCTGCTTATACTCGAGTGTGTATGGTATTTTATGTGGAGAAGTCGATGTGTATAGTCGCTTTTTGTGTTGAGAAAAGTATTTGCTATGAACAAGTCCTTGGTTTTATAAAATTAGGTACATATGAGGGTACTTTAAAAATTGAATTGAAAGATAATGGAACTTTTTGGGACACCCCCAATATAAATTAAGATTATTGAATAGAACCTTTTGTTACTGTAGTGAAGTTCTGTTCAGTATTACATATAGAAGAGTATATTACATTTATTCATCATGTCTCTTTGATACTTTTTAGCTGTGATAGTTTCTAAGACTTTCCTCTCTAATGATGACCTTGAAGAATTGTAGACTGTACTTGGATTTTCATTTTTCTTATTTCGCTTATTCATGATGCAG